GGTTGCAGGGAATCGGCCACCGGGGTGCTTGGCTGTGTCTGCGCCCCGGAACTTTGCACCTGTGCTCTTGGGAAAGTCAAGTTTCCACTGGGTGGCCCTTGGTGACAGGGAGACTGCATCGGAGCTGAAGCGAGAAGAGATTTCCATGGGATCCATCCCAGGGCTCCTTAGCTGAGTGCTCTCAGAGCACCCATGTCTGATGCCCCCGCCTGTCTGTGAGACCACCCTGGGAGCAGGTACAAAGGCAGGCATCATGGCTATGAAGGAGATGTCCCCATTCTCTCTGAGCCTGGGGATGCTGGGTTGGCAGGTGACCAGGCTGCGCAGTCCCTGAGGTGAAAATCACCCCCCTGACTCCGCAGGGCCTTGGGATGGGCCCAGTAGCTCACGCCTATCATTCTGTTCATAGTAACCTTGGTCTTAGAGCCTAGAGAGAAGGTGCTGGAGAGTTCTCAGGGCTTGGGGAGAAGGAGTTGTCCGGGTGTAGCGGAAACAAGGAGCGGGGGAAGAAGTTCGGCCTCGAGGCTTCAGGTACCCCTAGAAGAGCGAGTTGCAGAAAGGTAGCACGGGCCAACTTCTGGGGGCTTTTCCCAGCTCTGAAGCCTTTTGAAGCTTCTCATCTGCAGTTTCTGTCTGCCCTTCCACCCGCCCACTCATCTGGATTCTCTTGCCCCTGGGAGAATGCTAAATGACTGTGTGTTTCATTTGTGCCTCCCGAATTGCTGTAATGCTGAGGATGCCTGGTTTCTTTGGCCCTCGGGGAGGACGGGGAAACCCGGGAGAAAGTAGTCCTAGGGCGGAAAGGCTGTTACTGTCCACGTGAGGTTGAGGGACAAAACATTTCTTAGGCAGTTTCACTGTACCCGATTGGTACAATAAGGCACATCATGGACTCATTGCAGGCCCTAGCACGTGTTCTGTTCAGCAAAGAATGTCTCCTAACAAGGCCAGTTTCTCTCCCAGAAGGGAAGTCCAGAAAATAGCCTGAGCGGGAAGAGACGGGAATTGGGTTTTAGCCTGCGCACCTGTGTGAGAGTGGCCGGAAGGGGGTCACACTCAGCAGGCTCCACGTTTCTGAAGATCCTGGAGAGGGAAACAACTCTGCTTTGCTCCTGAATGATGCCAATAGCCACGTAAGGTGCACAGGCTGCTGGTCATTCAGAGGGCATTATGCCACTGAGAGTGGACACGTGACTGAAACCGTATCCACGCCGGGAAAAAATCACTGATGCTGCACAGAGGGTGAAAAGCCCACCATCCGTAGGGGAGGAAGAGCAGGACTAGAGCCTTGGCGTCACTGAATCCATGGGACAGGGTACAGACAGGAGTGGGTGCTCAGGATCTTCTATGTAAATGCTCCAGAGGAAGGCCAACACCCCGGGAGGATAAACTTTGAGCTCAGCAGAAAGAGAACAGACACTGCCCATAGGGAGCAGCCGCACAGCAGTGTGGAGACCAGAGAGCTTGCAAGAGGATACACAAGACGTACAAGGGGCCATAGAATTTCATGGGTCGAGAAAGTCTCTTCTTGGAAAGAAAGAGGCCTGTTACCCAGATGCCTCCAGGTGAGATAGCAGTGGCTGAGTTTTTGCCCCTTTCTCTCCATTTCTCCTCTCTGACCTTACTTGGTACCAACAGCCTGCTGCTTATGAGGGGGCAGGTGACACAGGATAGTGTGGGACAGAAGGAAAGGAAGCTTGTCTGACCCGCATGCTGCCTTTTCTTTTGAAGTAGGCTCCACATCCAGTGTGGATCAGAACGTGGGGCTTGAACTCACAGCCCTGATTTGTGGACCTGAGTGCAGATGAAGAGCTGGAGGCTTAACACCCGGGTGTCCCGGTGTTTTGCAAATAAAATCCAAGAGCATGTTCAAACCAGTATGCGTCTACAGGGCTTGTTGGCAGGGCTGCATCTCTCAGCCTATTTATGTTGTTGGATACAGAGAAGACAGACTTCCTGGGACCCTCCCTTCCCAGGAAGTTTGTGTCCCTCACAATGGGGGTACTTACCATCTACATCCAGACCCTCGAAGGTTTCCTCCTTGTCACGTGTGGATGAGGCACTTGTACGAGGCCTCCAGGTGTCTGGCAGGTCATGGCCAACGGAAGAAGTCAAATAACATTCGTCCGGGGAGTCCTGTGGGACGTCATTCTCTTCTACCACGGGCAGCTCCCTGGGGAGCCTCGAGTTACAGGGAGGACTGGAGATGCAACAAGAGGGCTGAGTCAACGTGGAGTCCCAGTGGGTTTGGGCAGCGGGGAGAAGGGACTGGTCACAGAGAACAAACGGGAAGTCCCCGTCAAGGGAGACGAGCCATTCTGCCTCCATCCGGGGCAGAGTGTGGATGAAGCAGAGATAGATCAGGGAAGGAGAGAGGGAGCCAGGGCAAGAGGTGGTCAGAGCATGGCCAAAATGGGAGTTTAAAGGAAGAGAGTCTGAACCGCCCCAGTGCACCACCGTCCCAACAAACAGCACACCCAGAAAACAAGAAAAGCAGCACCAACACTTTGGCTTACGTCTTGTTGAAATTTGCAGAAAGGAGCAAGACCACCCCAGGCTCTGGAAGCATTGGAGATTCCTAGAATGCTTGTGTGTCCAGGGCCTACTTGGCTAAAGAGGGAAACACGAATTTTTTTTTTTTTTCCCTAAACAGTTGTCTTGCCATGAATTCCTACCCGCGTCATCGTGCAAAAGCAGCAGAGACAGATGGCATCTTCGGCTGGATTTGGATCAAAGCGTGACCGTGAGAATGCAAGAAGTCCTGTGTGCTTAGTATACCTGCATCAGGGGACTGCAGATTCCAGGTTTGGGAGGGATTGAGAAAGGGCCTTATAGTAGTGCCCCAGTAAAGCAGAAAGCATTGCTAAAGGCCCGTTTTGTGCATGTCAGAATGGGTGAAAGAGGTATATTCAGCAATTTCTAGATTTGCCTAGATCACCAGATGTCACCATTGAATTAAAGCCCACGAATCTTCAGAGTTACCTGGGGTATATCGGGTCTTGGTCTTCTACCTCCCAAAGATCATGGTGATTTTCTACAACTGAGGAGAGACAGGGCCAGTCACATTAAACGGAATGGCATCGGTACGTTAAAATGAAAGATCCGCTGCAGCTAACACTCGGGCATAATTTTCCTTAATGGGGCAGAGGGTTGTGTGAGAGAAACCCTCCAGGAGGCCTCAGGGAGTGTCTTGGGAATGTGTCATGGTTTGCTTTCCTTAGGCATCGGGCACGAGCTCCCCGATGTGGTGGGGCCACGTAGAAAGAGTCTGTGTAGAGTGAAGCGTGTGTTTTACCATAGATTCTGGGGGACAGCTTGTCTGAGTTTTAAAAAGGTACTGCAGCCTTCTCACCTTACCCTATCTCATGAGATGCTCTAGGTGTGATGGTTGAAAGGCATTTAGACACAGAGACCAGACTGGTGGATTGAATCTGCAAACCGTGAACTCAAGAGGAATCTTTTGTGTACAATTCTTTCGAGGACACAGACGTGGGAGCCATGCATGGGGAGGGGGAATGCCCGGGCTCAGCCTTGCTCGGGGAACCATTCAAGCAAGCTGATGGCAGAGGTGTGGATGTCCTGGTACGCCTATGATGACTCACTGAGTCAGAGCAGTCAAACCAGGGACACGACACAGACAAAGATGCAGGTAAAGCTGACAGCATCTTTGAAGAGGGACAGAAAATCGAGGTCCATTGTATGGGTATAAAAATGAGGGCCCTGGAGATGAGGAGAGACCTTTAATGGAAATCAGGAGCAAAGACCCCTCCGGCTTGGCATCACAAAAGAGTGTGGGTTGTCACATCTCCCTTGACTCCAGTGTCCTAACGTATGTCAGAAGGCATAAGCAGGGCGTGGGATGAGGAATAAAGGGCGGGTCCGTGCCTCACGTGATATCTGTGCTGGAAAGACTGGCCTAGAGCCTGACTGAGATCCCTGTGTCTACGGAACTTCTACACAGCAATGACACATCTCAGCGTAAGCAGAGGTTGGGATAGCAAACATAAGGGGTCAGCTTAGGGGTCGAGTTGGAGCTTTCTCAGCTTGACAACGGAGGACTCACTAGCTACTTCCGGAGCAGAAGAATTGTCCATAACGTCGAAGGAGTTTCTGTCAGCCCCCGTAGAGGTCCCGTGCAGGTCAGCCAGGTCAGGAAGGGCTGAGTGGGTCAAATAGGATTGATCCGGGGAGTCCCATGGGGCATCCTGCTCTTCCACCTCTGGCAGACACGGGCTGAGCCTGGGAGGGTGGGGAGATCTGAACATGAAAACTAGAAAAGGAGACACCCCAGAAACCTACTCTTTCAGATGGGAGGCCGAGAAGTAGAGTCATAAGAAAGGAGCACGGCCACTACTCACCGCAGAAACGACCCTCCTGTTTCAGGGGCAGAGTATGGCTGCTAGGGGGAAGTACAGATAGCCAGAGAACAGAAGGATCTCGGGGTAGAGGCGACACATCTAAGCTTCTGAGCAACAGACTGAACGATGGTGGAATAGAAGTCGAGGCTCAGAGTATGCATCGAGCATTTTAAAGGTGGCTTCGACACCTTTGCGTAACTTCTGTGGCTGTTACGCTCAGGGACCAAGGGAATACAGACTTTTCAAAGGCATCCTCAGCCTGGATCGATCTCGTGTCTTCAGTGCCTCTTTCTCTAACTACCGTGACGTGGCGTGACGTGACGTGACGTACATTTTTCCTAGGTATTCTTTTCCTACAGTGTATCCTCAATGTGGTAAGACCGAGGAGGGAGACACAGCTCTGCCTCTCTCTGTGCATTTAGCAAAAGAAGGGAACAGGGCAATGCAGAGAATCCCACTGACTAATCAGTTCACGCAGGTCAAGTGACTGCAGGTGACTGAAAGGGAGGAGTCCATCAAAGGGACGGAGACGTGTAGCACAGGGAAGACACACATCATGGTTAAAGGAGGTGGTTTGTGATTGGAGAAGGGATGAAAGAGAGAGGTTTGTCAGGTTCTATTTGTTCCTTGAAACACAGTCCTTCAATTCACCACTGAAAGAAGCCACGATTCCTCAGAGTTACCTGGGGCATAGCGGGTCTTGGTCTTCTTCCTCCAGAAGACCTTTATGAGTTCCTAGAAATGCAGAGAGACAGGGCCAGTCACATTGAACAGATCACCGCTTGTACATTAAAACCAAGGTTCCGCTACAACTAGCATGTGGGCTGAATAATCCTTAGTGGGGCAGAGGAGAGTGTGGAAGAAGTCCTCCAAGGAGGCCTCAGGGAGTGTCTTGGGAATTGGCCACGGTGCGCTTTCCGTAGCCCTCGGGCATGAGCTCCCTGATGTGGTCGGGCCCTAGAGAAAGGGTCTCGTGCAGAGGGACACATGCGTTTTACCACAGGTTCTGGGGAACAGCTTCCCTCGATTCTAAAACCTTACTGCAACCTTCTCTCATTACCTCACCCCACGAGATACTCTAGGTGTGATGGTTTAAGGTCATTTAGACAGAGAGCAGACTGACGGATCAAATCTGCAAACCCACAACCCGAACGGAATCTTTTGTGTACAATCCTTTGCGCTCCACAGACATAGGAGCCGTGCACGGGGAGAGGCAAAGCCCGGGCTCCGCTTTACTTCCGGGAAGCATCTAAGCCAGCTGGTGGCAGAGGTGTTGATGGCCTCGTACGGCGACGATGACTCAGTGAAGACAGCCAACACAGAGCATACAGACAGTGGGGATCAGAGCAGTCAAACCAGGGAAACGACAAATCCCAAGATCTAGGCAAGGCTGGAGCCGTCTCTGGACGGGCACGACAATTCAAGGGACATTGTATGGGTATGAAAATGAGAGCACGGCAGATGAGGAGAGACATTCAGTGGCAATGAGGAACAAAGGCAGACACCTCAGCCTATGCAGCGGAAGGGAGTGTGAGTTGTCACATCTGCCTTGATTCCAATGTCCTAACTTTTGTCAGAAGCCCTAAGCAGGGCCTAAGATGAGGAACAAAGGGCAGGTCCATGTCTCAGCTGAGATCTGTGCTGACAAGGGTATCCCAGAGCCTGACTCTGATCCCCATGCCTACCGGGCTCCTACACAGCGGTGACACCTCTCAGCGTAAGCAGAGGTTGGGATAGCAAACATAGGGGGTCAGCTTTGGGGGTCGAGTTGGAGCTTTGTCAGCTTGACCAGAGAGGACTCACTAGCTACTGCCAGAGCAGAAGAATTGTCCATGTCGTCAAATGAGTTTATGCCAGCCCTCGTAGAGGTCCCTTGCAGGTCAGCCAGGTCAGGAAGGGCTGAATAAGTCAGATAGCATTCATCCAGTGGGTCTCCTTGGGCGTCCTGCTCTTCCACCTCTGGAAGCTTTGTGCTGGGCCTGGGAGGGTGGGGAGATTTGAACATGAAAACAAGGAAAAGAGACACCCCAGCATCCTATCGCTGTTAATGGGAGGCCGAGTAGTAGAGTCGTAAGAAAGGAGCACGGCCACTACTCACCGCAGAAACGACCCTCCTGTTTCAGGGGCAGAGTATGGCTGCTAGGGGGAAGTACAGATAGCCAGAGAACAGAAGGATCTCGGGGTAGAGGCGACACATCTAAGCTTCTGAGCAACAGACTGAACGATGGTGGAATAGAAGTCGAGGCTCAGAGTATGCATCGAGCGTTTTAAAGGTGGCCTCGACACTTTTGCATAACTTCTGTGGCTGTTACGTTCAGGGACCAAGGGAACACGACGTTTCAAAGGCATCCCCAGCCTGGAGCGATCTCGTGTCTTCAGTGCCTCCTTCTCTCACTACCGTGACGTGACGTGATGTGACATTTTTCCTAGGTATTCTTTTCCTACAGTGTATCCTCAATGTGGTAAGACCGAGGAGGGAGACACAGCTCTGCCTCTCTCTGTGCATTTAGCGAAAGAAGGGAACAGGGCAATGCAGAGAATCCCACTGACTAATCAGTTCACGCAGGTCAAGTGACTGCAGGTGACTGAAAGGGAGGAGTCCATCAAAGGGACGGAGACGTGTAGCACAGGGAAGACACACATCATGGTTAAAGGAGGTGGTTTGTGATTGGAGAAGGGATGAAAGAGAGAGGTTTGTCAGGTTCTATTTGTTCCTTGAAACACAGTCCTTCAATTCACCACTGAAAGAAGCCACGATTCCTCAGAGTTACCTGGGGCATAGCGGGTCTCGGCCTTCTTCCTCCTCATGATTCAGTTGATATTCTGTAAAGAAATACAGTCAGCACCAGTGAGTAAGAAGATCCCTCTCTGTCCATTAGTAATCCAGTGTCTGATGCAACCCAGGCACTCAGATATGCTCAATGTGGGGACAGATTTAGTGACAATAATATTTGAAGGTGCCTCCCGTATTGCCTTGCGGTAACTGCCTTGATTTCGTGGCCTGAGCCATTGTGTAGGAGAGCCTCATCAGAGTTTCCCCTGTCGGAAGTCGGTGTAAACACTTTAACTTCTCTGTTCTCCCAGATTGTGGGAAGTAAGCCTCCCTCTGTTCTACAAGGATTACTGCAGTATTCAGCCTTCTCTCATCAGATGCCGAGTTGCGGAAGGCTTAGTGGCACTTATACACTGAGCCTGCAGAGAAGGAAGGCAACTACAAACCCTCAACTTCATGTGAGTCTTTTTGGTGCTGCACACAATGGTGCCCCAGTTCATGTGGGGCTGCAGGGTGGGGGGAATGGTAAGGCACAGCTGTGCTTCTGGAAACACACGATCAAGGTATCAGTGGAAGCACTTGTGGTGGGTTTTCAGAGAACCGTTTGGGAAGGCAAGCCATCCTAAAAGCGATAGAGAACGGGGCTGAGAAGAGTAAAACTAGTTAACCTTGGACAAGAATGGCAATTGACTGCTTCAGGCTTGGGTTCCTCAGGGAGCTGGCTCAGAGATGAAATGGACAGGTTATTAAAGGTGAGAAAAGAAATGTCATCCAAATGAGGTCTGACAGATACCTTCTCTTGTCCTATTGCTGAGGTGAGTTGAGTGTGTGGTGCCTGACGTGGGCCCAGGGACCCGATGGAGAAGCCAGGGAGACATGGGCATGCCCTGGGAGTAGGAAGAGAGCAACGTCCCCTGACCCCCCCGATGTCTGGGCTTACCACTCAGTCCTACAGCCCAGTTTAGGTCAGTAGGTCTCTCCGGGGCCTGCCCACAGGGATGACCTCTCTGGGCACAGCAGAGGTCCGGGGTCCAAAGAATAGGAGATCTATGTGGGTGTCGTGTCCAGTTGGAGCTTTATCCCCTTGACAGTGGAGTACTCACTGGCCACTTGCAGAGAGGAAGAGACTTGTGGGTCCTCCGGTGAGAAGATGGCGGAGCGCCTGTAAGGCCGGTGGGAGTCAGAGAGGTCGGGAAGCACTGGGTATGTCAGGTAGCGTTCATCCGGAGTGTCCCGTGAGGTGTCCTGCTCTAGCAGCCGTGTGGTGAGCCTGCAGGGTGGGGAAAACTGAACATTAACCTCAGAGGGATCTGAATGCTATGTCCTGTCTGGCTTTGGCGGAAAGCAGAAGGGAGTGGTCCGGAAGGCAAAGAGGTTGAGCCATGAAAGAGAGAAAGAAATCTTCTTGTGTTTGTGCGACAAGGTGTGTTTGTCACAGGGGTAGCAGATAGGAAGGACAGTAAGTGCTCGTTACACAAGCCACCAAGCTTGTGAAGAAAGAGACTGAATGATCTCTGTGCCGTCCAGCCATGACTCACTACGTACAGAGTCCCAGCATGGCGGCTTTCCAAGCCCTTCGTTCAAATGGCTTTGAGTTTGGCACGTAGTGGCCAAGCGGCGGCTGCTCTGGGGGTTAGGAGGCCGTCCCCGGAACCTCGTGCCGCAAAGGCCTCTTCCTCTCAATATTGTGGCGCGGTAGAGTACGTTGTCTCGTGGCTATGGTATTTTCATGCTATGCACACATGTCAGCATGCTAAATCCAACAGGCAGAAAGTAGACATGCATGTCTGTCTAGAGCACAAAGTGGAGAATGAGCGAGGACAGTGACCCCTCTGACGTATTAGTTCAGCTGGGTCAGCTGACTGTGGGTTCCTCAACTAGAGAAGTACTTTAGAAATGGGGAGCAATCCAGGTACCACAATGAAGACAGAAAACGTGGTGAAAACGGATCATTTCTCATTGACGCAATGGGTAAGAGAGCTCTCTCTCTTGAGCACTTTCTGCTTTTCCCTGGTTGCCACTTTGGAATTCACAGCCCCTACGTATTCAGAATTACCTAGGGGCAACGGAGTCCTCCTGGCCTTTCGGCCCCTCCTGATCCATTGGGTTGTCTGCAAATAAACAAAGAGGAGTTACAGTTAGAAGATTCCCCTTCACAGATGCCCACTCCTATGTGCCATGGAGCCCAGGGCAGAAATACAAGCAGCGTAATTACAGGCAACTGTGAGACAAATCATCCCAGAGAGCTTAGGTAGGGCCCTGTAAGCCATCACTGGGATTGCTCTCTTGAGCCATTCAACGAATGTCCCTGACGTGCCAGGCCATCCTCACGGCATCCTGTCTTGAGTCTGTGCAAACAACAAACTGATTCTTCTTCCCGGAGATTGTGGGGAAGTCCCTGGCTGCTTCCTAGAGGGTTGTTGCAGTATTTACGCTTTTTCCACCTGAAATGCTGTAGGTCAATGGTTTAGCGGAATCAGCCGTTGAGATTAAAGCAATGAATGAAAAACTCCCAGCATCAAACCAGAATAATCTTCCACGGTGCAAAGAAATGGGCCGTGTATGGGGTAGGGAAGTTTCAGGATCCTGCCTTGCTCCAGAGAAACATACACTGTACGATAGTCAGTGTTGTTTCTTCTTCTCCTTCTCCTTCTCCTTCTCCTTCTCCTTCTTCTTCTCCGACGTCGTCGTCGTCCCCGTCGTGGTCGTAATTTTCTGTAAAGAAATCCAGAATTGTCCCTTCAGCTATTTCCCACATCGCTGCTCGAAGCACCGTGGCTCCAATGGCCCGAGAGACAGAAGTGACTTTGCACGACTAGAGGGTCTTCTGAGTTGAGGGCAGTGTCATTAGGAATTGGTGTGACCCTGGTTTCGGATCCATCAGAAAGGTGTCTCTGATTCGGAGGATCAGCACCACTGAACCCAGGCAACTATTTCTACTGTCTGTTGTTGTCCATATCAGGGGATGCTCGTCCAGGGTCAGTCTTGACTTTGGCAAACCGTGTCGTGCAGCGTGCCCCAAGTCCCACCGCACGCACAGACTCTCTGTGCGTTCACGGCTCTCACACGGAGCCTCTTCCTCGTCTTCATGGCCGGACCACCCCCTGTCCCCCGTCCCTCCACCGGGGACTTCATGGACGCCCCCGTGGGCTTCGGTGTCCTCAAGGGGACATCTGTCTATGAAAAGTGTTCCAGGCTCAACTGGGTTCCCACCTCCAAGTCCTACTGCATCCAGTACCTCATCCAACTGCACACTGTCAGGGCCTTTCTTTTAGGTCTGAAGTGCATTCAGTAATTTTCCCATCTGGTGACTACAGTGGCAACAAGTTTATTTGATGTACGTGCCAGATGAGGGGACAGCGATGGAGCAAGGAAAACTCACTCTCTCACCTAGACTTAATACAGACCGGGCTGAGTCTGGGAAGCCCCCGCTTCTGCAGGGATCCTTGCATACTAACAAGGATCCCTCCTGTCACGTTCCCCTTTGCGGGCTCGACCACTGGCCAATGCTTCCTCCTACCCCAAAGGCCATGTCCCCTCAGGAAGGAAGCAGGCAGGTGGAGCAGGGCGACGTGCCCCCCGTGCCTTGCTCCTCTCTGCTACCACCTCCCAGTCCTGGTCCTCTCATGGCCCCACGTGCGATGGGGAACCCAGGACAGCCGCTGCCAAGAGTGTGAGGGCAGGCGGGGAGTCTCTTGGCAGCCCAGGGACTCGGAGCAGCACAGTGCAGTCAGGGGTCTGTGGCCGTCTTACCTGGGCTGAGCTTTCGGGCAAGGCACTTGGCCAGCCTGCGTCCCTCAGCCAGTTGCCCTTGCAAGCCCTGCCGTTGGGAATGCTCAGCGCCATCATGGGTGAGGAGGGCGTCCAGGTGCTGAACGAGCAGCTGGGAAACATCTTTCCCTTCCCGCAGCTTCTTATATAAGCGGGTCAGTTCTTTAGCCTGGTCTTTAATCAGCAGATGACATCGCCTAAGTTGGGAGAACACAGAGAACGTTCTAAAATGCAAAGGTTTGGACAATAGATAAGAGCTGTCATAGAGATTTCTGGCAGAATTTCCCAATGAGCCCTCAAAGCCGAATTCTGGCCTGTGTGGTGACCTGTCTGTGGCAGAGAAAGTAGAAGGTTAATGAAGCCTTCCTCTGGATCAGAGTGTGCTCCTGTTCATGCCCTGGACATGCCGTGCATCTTTCCTCCGGACCTCCAGAGCACGCTTCAGAGAGATGCCCCTTCAGCTGCTCACTCGGGGCACACGCATTTCCCTGGGAAACTCCATAGGGGGCAGCGCGCCATGAATGGACACAGTGCCAGACCCAGAAGCGTGGACAGTACGGCTGGTGTTAAGTGGTGTTAACTGGTTAACAGGAGAATGGCAGGGTCCAAAAGACAGCATTTGTGGGAAGAGAGGATGGCAGGCTATCGTCAGCCAGGTCGTGCCCGTGTGAAAGGTAAAGGGAAGTGTTGATCTCATAAGATTGTTCATGGGCTCACTGTGCCAAAGGTCGCAGATGGTCCCTTGCCCCTTGAATTTGGTGACTTTGATATCCTTTTGAAAAAGAGAGAACGAGCCTCTGAGTCACTGGAGTCCATCGTTTACCAATCACTGTGGTCTAAATTGTCTTGGATACGTTTGTATAACGCGTCTGCCATGACGGTGTCTGCCCTTCTCCGGGCCCAGACTTGTTGCTGCCGCCAGTCAGAGGGGCCCACAGCTTCCCTCCAGCCTCCCACACAGGGCCCTCCTTACCTGAGCTTCTCAGGCGACGTGTCTGCCCGCTTGCCCTTCTCACACAGCACGTTCTCCCCCAGCACGGATTTGATGAGGTCGCTGGACTGTTCACACTCTGAGAAACAGAGATGCCTGCCTCAGCGGAAAGGTGGACATGCTGCTATGCCCGCTGCTTTCAAGGGAGAAGGCAGATGCACCCCAGGACAAATGGAACCCGGCAACCAGGCTGTGTGCTGGGAGCTCCACGCCTCATTC